GAAGGGAGGTGAGGGACACGGCTGATGGGTCAGACCTGCCACAGCAGCGACCTTCCCGGGGGTGTGAACCCACCTTTCCCTCTTGTCTGTGCTGAGCAGCGGTGAGGCGCTGGCTCTCGTCCCAGCTGTGGCTTTGCTGTGTGCTCCTTGGAAGGAAAAGGAGCAGCAGTCGTGAGGAGGGTCTCGGCTCCAGGTCCCCCATGAGGAGAACGAGCTCCAGCCGAGCAGTTCTGGGGCCCAGCAGGCAGGGCCATGCTGGTGCAAGGTGAGGGAATCTCACCTGAGAAGAAAGACAGACACCTCCTGCAGGAAGCTCAGCCAGCCCAGGGTCATGCCAGGCCAGCTGGCCACGTGGACATCCCCGAGAGAGAGTGCCAGGGTTGCTGGCCACATAGAGGTCCCTGAGAGAGAGTGCCAGGGCTGCTGGCCACATGGATGTCCCTGAGTGAGAGTGCCAGGGCTGCAGTCCTGTGGCCCTGGGGAGACAGGAAAGTGACACACGTGGCCACAGAGTCCAGTGCTCGGCCAGCCCGCCTCTTCTCATCAGGGGTCTCAAGTCAGAGTCATACTTAGTTCCTCTCCTCGCATGAGGCAGCCGCCCTGCTCAGGCCCAGAACAAAGAAATGGAGAGACACAGGGGGGCTCAGATCAGACAGCGAAGACTGAGGCGACATGGGCCATGGAGATAACACACCAAGGCAAGAGCAATGTGTGTTTTCTTCATAGTTAGATCAGCACCCCTGAGCTAGCTCTGCATTGTGAAGACCATGCTCATCAGAGAGGACTGTGCTCCGGGGGAGCCGACAACCGGGACTCTCTCCAGGCACTGACACTGGACTCAGAGCCGCACCTCGACCCAGGCTGTTTGCTGTGGTTCCACCGCCCATGTGCCGATGGTGCACAGCTGTGCTGTCACAGGTGGTCCAGGTCACATGTGGCCTCTGACATGTGTGGCTCTGACACACGTGGTCCTCGGACGGAATGTGTGGTCTCTGATACACATGGTCTCTGACACATGTGGCTCTGACACATGTAGTTTCTGACATGTGTGGTCTCTGACATGTGTGGTCCCTGGGTGGAATGTGTGGTCTCTGATACATGTAGTTTCTGACACATGTGGTCTCTGACATGTGTGGTCTCTGGGTGGAATGTGTGGTCTCTGATACTTGTGGTCCCTGGCATGCATGGTCTCTGACACATGTGGCCTCTGACACGTGTGGCTCTGACTCATGAGGTCGCTGGATGGGATGTGTGGATCACATGGTCTCTAACACACAATCTTCATGAGCTCTCCGTGGCACCTCACAGTTACCCACCAGTCACGATGGGAATGTGCTTGTCAAAGGCACACAGTTGCTCTTCCTTTTCAAGGAATGAAAACCCAAGAAACTAAGTGGATGCTTTTAAAAAGGTACCAGTGACAGAAGGTAAAGCCTGGCCCTGCAGCCCTGCGTGTCCATTCCTCATGGAGAGGAGCCTTGACTACTGACAGACCAGGACTAATCTAGCATAGCGTCTTGGGGTAATCTCCTGGAGGAGGTTAATGTGGGACACCTATCTTCCCCACTAAGCTTTGTGTTTTCTAGAATGTTCGCCAGTTCTGTTCCTTACGTGTGTGTATGGCAGGCAGGCTGCAGAGAGCAAAGAAGAGTGTGGTTCTGATGAACGGCTTGGATGGGCTTTCCTGTGTGAGGTGCCATCGAGTCAGTTCCTGAGGCATCACGGTGGAAGGACACCCTATCTGACTGTTCCATCTTCACGACCCTCATCTGTGGCTGGACCACCAGTCAGTCCATCGCCTAGAGGGTCTTCTGAGCTGGTGCTGATCCCTATTTCTCCAAGCATGACGTCCTTCTCCAGGGACTGTTCTTCCTGATGGAGTGCCCAGCTAAAGTCGGGCAGGCTCTCTCCACAGGGATCTGCCTAGGGCTCTAGGAGGATATTTCTGCAGGTGCCAGTTGCCCTTCTCCAGGTCCTTTCAGCAGGTGACACCAGCCCTGAGCTGAATAACTCTCACTGTCCTTTGATGTCCTTTGTACCTTCAGGGACCTGTTTGTGGGATGTACTGGCTGCAGAGGGTAAACAAGGGACAGGAGAAATGAAAGGATGTGCTGGGTGACTGGAGAAGTCAGCATGGCCTTCCCTCATGTGCTCTGGATGAAGGTGGGGCCAGGACACCAAAAGTGTTGCTTTCTTGGCCTTTGAGGCTCAAACTGTGTGTCTGTATCAAGCAAGAAGGATGCAGGGGAGGTTGCAAGCAAAGCTCTCGGGCCCAGAGCTGACCCATGTCTGCCTTCCTGGTCTGTGCTGCCTCTCCTGGTATGAGGGGACGGGGAGACCCTGGAAACGCAGTGAATTTCACGACCCTTCACTGCTGTGGCCAGGTCTGTAGACACGACTCCATGATGCCCAAAGAGAAGAAGGACGCTCCCATCATGGGACCCTGGCCATCTGGAAGACTCCTGAGAACCAGCCCGTTGCCACACTCCTGACACTCGGCAGCGGCCACACCGTCTGTGGCCTGGAGACAGGACGGCGGCAGCAATGCCCTTCCGAAGGCTCTGTCCTCACTCATCCTATTGTTCTCCCACCATCAAGCCTGCTGGAGTTTGCAGGGGCAGGTAAGGGAGAGCTGGAAACCAACCAGCCAGACCCCAGCAATCCCCCGCTGCCAATGAGCTGAGCCTGTTTGCACTGTGACCCTTGCTTGGTTTCCAAGGCTGTGAATCTTTACAGGAGCCACTGGTGGATTTGAACTGTCAACTTTTGATTATCAGTCTGGTACATTACATACCATCCACAAAGGATCCTTAAGACAGAGCCAGGAGAGGTTAAGTCAGGTGACCTTGGAAGTGACACACAGGGACTGAGCAGAGAAGGACCCTGCTGGTGGGGAAGTCACACTGGGATTGTGTACAGACACTCAGAATATGACCCACGTGGACCCGAGTTACAGGGGGGCAAGGAGGAGCCGGACACCCCCCTGGAGAGAAGGACTAAGAGTGGCACCAATAAGCATCTTCGAAATAATTGGAACCAGCTGAACACCATCCTGTGTGAAGGTAGAAGAGCACAGTGCCTCTTGGCACAAGGCACCCAGCAGGGCAGCTTCAAGTGAGCAGAGGATGTTGGTTTCACATACGATGCCCTGGTGGTGCAGTGTGTAATGTTTTGGGCTGTTAACTGAAAGGTCAGTGGTTCAAATCCCCCAGCCTCAGCACAGGGCAAACACTGGCCTTCTCTTTCCATAAAGATGTATTCCCTGGAAACTGGTGGAGAGTCACCCTGAGCCAGGCCGAGTCCAGCACAGGGTGTGGGTGGGAGTTTCAGATACTGGCAATGAATGCACGGAAGTCCTGCCTTCAGTGCAGCCGGACGCTGGGCTGCATGGCAGATACAGGCTTGCTGTAGAGGTGTGTCAAAGGAGAGGACTTTGTTGTGGTTGTCAACAGTGTCCTCCTAGTGGACAAGGCAGGTGACCCCCTTGTCCTGTCTGCTGTGGACACTTGCGCACTACACACCAGCACAAACACTCAACCAACTTCTGATATTACTCACTAGTATCTAGTGAAAGCGGTGGCCTCATGGTGAGAAGCTGAGCTGCAAGCCCACAGGCACGCACTTCACATCCACCGGCTGCTCCCTGGAGGATGGGCACTCTCCCCCTACGAGATTCTCTGTCTCTGAAAACCTGCTGGAGGGTCAGCTACGAATCGGGTGACAATAACAACATATTTAATTATTCTGATTTGCATACAAATTTAACTTAAGGCCAGCTTTAGTAAGGGAGTACACTGGTAGCCCTGGATGGCTTGGCGGGCATCCACAGGGCATGTTTTCCACCCAGCGCAGCGTGGACACGGAGGGACGCATGCCCACGTGAGTCCACCGCCTCCAGCACTGCTCGCGGTAGATGGGCCCCACACTTCGCCCTGGCCTTGAACCCTTGAGGGGCTGCTTTCCCATGAAGAGGTTGCTACACACTTCAGGTCCGAGCTCCCGGGGGGCAAAAGCAGGTAAGAGTGAAATCTTACTAACAGATTTAAAAAGACTCTAAAGAGCTTTCATCTTCTCAAATTAAAAAGGAATACAATTATTTTCAGAGTGAGAAAGACCCACCACGCAAGACTTCAAATGCCTGGAAATCACCTCGATCCACCCGGGTTAACTGCAGCTCATTGTGGGCTCAGCTAGCTTGTGGCCAAAATTCTTAGGATGATTTTTCACTTTGGAATAAAAGGCATGTTTACAAGTAGACCAAGATAATGTATGTGAAGCCACCATAATATTTCATATACGACTGTCTTTCCCCACTGTATGAGGCATCAATCACTGATTTTATTAAAAAAGCTCTTCCTCAGATTCACAAAAACAAATAAAGATTTTATCTGATGTTACTTCCTAATGTGAATTTCATAAACAGACACAATTACACAAATACTCTGCTTTGGTTTATCCCCATGTGGCCCGGTGGCAGCCACTGAGGCTTCCAGCCCTGTAGGTTCGGGGGTACTTTGGAGGGAACACCATGCTGAGTCTAACTTGCGATGCAGACGAGGAGAGAGGACCCCTTTGCTTGTGAGCCAACGGCAAAGCTAAAACGACCTGAGGGTCCTGGAGCTGCCTCCGGCTAAGCTACCCCACCACCTAAGGTGACCCAGAGGACCATATACCTCATCCTCTCATCCTTATAATACCACACACATGCCACAGCCCTCCCCCCCCCCAATGCACCAGCACACGTGCACACACTTACGGAGAAGCTGGTGGACTAAGGTGACAGAGAATACTGCCCTGATGTGCCCACTTCGTCCTGATATAAAATCCTGGTTTCACAAGCAGATCAGAAGATGCACTGCACACTCCAGTTGCACCCCCCCCCCACCATCCCCCACCCACAGCAGCTCCTGTCTGGCCTGGAACGCTCAGGTGGGTCAGCAGGTGCAGCACACACAGGCGCACTGGTGGCACAGACAGGTTCAGTGGGGGCAGCCACTTACCTGTCTATGATGGCACACATGTCGATGCTGACATTGGCGAAGCTGCCCGGTTTCCTCTGTGCCACCTCGTACAGGTTCACCAGCTGGTCGTCCACCTGGATGAGCTGCATGCACCCCTGGAAGGGTGGCTGGAGCAGGGAGAGGCCTGAGCTCACCATCTGGCTCAGGACACCTGTGGGCCACAAGGAACGAGGCATCACCTCTGTGCACTCTGCCTGGACACAGCCTTCAGCTCACACCAGGCACTGTCCTCCCTGAAGTCCCACTCAGAAGAATAAGACTGCTGAGTAAGGCAGCTTGCTGGGAAACAAGCCAGGTGTCAGTGGAGTGAATGTTGATCTCTGGAGTTTACCATCCCCCATATTTTTCACTCTGGTCCTGCATATCATGTACACAACCCCACATTACGAGTGATAACCAACACTAAATCACAAATAACTAAAACTAGAGATAGCAGAGAGTATATAATCTTCAGTAGGAATTACACTTCAGAATCAAGACAGCAAAAATCCTTAAAACAGGATAAACAGGCCACAACATGATAAACATAAAGCTTATTGCAGCTGTCAAGGATTTCATACCGAATCCACATTCAACACCCATGCAAACTGTACTCAAGACTGCAAATGATATACTGTCTTGGTTGAATCTTCTTGGACAATCTCTTTAATGTGCTAATGAGTAAGGATGTCAGGTTAAAGAACAAGATGCACCTGGCCTAAGCCATGGTGTTTTCAATCGCTTCATTTGCATGTAAAAGTTGGACAATGAATAAGGAAAACCAAGAACAGTGGATGAGTTTGAATTGCAGTGTTAGTGATGAATATTGAATGGACTGTAAACAGAACAAGCAAATCTGTTTTTGGAGGGTGTGGCCAGAGTGTTCTTTAGCACCTAGGATGCTGAGAATTTATATCTCATAATTTTGGTTTGTTGTTAGAAGGGGGCCAGTCCTTGGTTAAGGGCATGCTTGGAAGTGGAGAGGCACTGACGCAGTGAACGTGACTGTGAAACTGAGCTCATCAGAGGTGGTGCAGACGGTACAGGGTCCACTAAGGTTTCAATAGGGTGTATGAACTGGTGTCCACGTGATGGCATGTAGCAATTCAGTCCACAGAGAAGCTGGCCCCACAAATGCTTCTCAGTTTATGAAATGCAAAGGAGTACTGCGGAGAGAGACCCATTTCAGCACAAAGGTCAACTGTTCTGCTTCAATATTCATCCTGGACAGAGAACCCAACAATGTCTATAAAGTAAATGATAGAATAATGTAAATGATGACAGACAAATGGAAAGGACAGGCTGCAAACGGCAGTGAGGAAAGGAAGACCGGCAAGGCAGCTGGTCCTACTGGAGGATAAAATCCATGCACACCACACAGGCATTAAGAGTATCACTTCTGAATAACTTCCAAATAGGCCTCACTGATCAATGATTACCAAGCCTTTCCAACACAACTGTTATTATCGGTGTAAAATGTACAAGCCATGAAGATATGACATTTTTTCGGTCCTCTTAAGTGTCTCAGAAAAGTCCCCACAATTGCAGTTCATTATCTGGTTACTTACACCATCTCACCCCCTAGGACAAGCTGGAAGGAGGAGCTTGTCTGCTTAGAAACCAAATGTTCTTAGAAAGTTCACTTCAATCTAATTGTTTTTATCTAGAAAAATCAAAACAGGGTTGCATTCGCAGTTAAAAAGATCATTTCTAGATCCATCCTGAAACATAATGTTGTGAGTGACAGGATTATATCCATGTGAATACAAGAAGGACTTGTTAATGCCATTATCATTCAAATTTATGCATCAACAACTAGGGCCAAAGAGGAGAAAATAGATGACTTCTATCAACTGTTGCAAGTGGAAATGGATCAAACATGCAACCAAAATGCATTAGTAATAAGGGGTGACTAGCATCCAAAAGTTGGGAACAGGGAAGAAGGATCGGTAGTTGGGAGAAACATGAACTTGGGGACAGAAATGAAGCTGGACACAGTATAATGGAATTCAGTACAATCAAGATTTATTCATTGCAAATACCTTTTGCAAGAAACACAAACATAAATCTCACCTGATAGGCTACAAAGAAATCAGATTGATTTTCTGGGGCGAAAAATTGTTGGAGGAGCTCAATATCAGCTGTGAAAGCCAGACCAGGTGCTAACTGTGGAACAGACCATCAGCTACTCATATGCAAATTTTAACTGAAGCCGAAGAAAATAAAAGCAAATCCACCAGAACTAAAGTTTGACCATGAGTCTATCCCTCCTGAATTTAAAGACCATGTTGGAAATAAGTTTGATACTTGGATACTAATGAGTGAAGACCAGATGATCTGTGACAGGATATCAAGAATATCATCCATGAAGAATGCAAAAAATCATTACAAAGACAGGGGAGAAAGAAAAGGCCAAGATGGATGTTAGAAGAGACTCTGAATATTGCACTAGAGTGTCAAGAAGCCAAAGCAAAGGGAAGAAATTAAAAAGTTAAGGAGCTGACCAGAAGCTTTCAAAGGGCAGTGCGGGAAGACAAAGCAAAGTATTATAATAAAACGTGTGAAGAGCTGGAGTCAGAAAATCAAAGGGACAAACTCGCTCAGCATTTCTTTTTCTTTTCTTCCTAGAGAGCTTTATTTGAGGAAGGAACATGTTTCTTCTCTTTGTCCTGATTGCTTGCACTCTCTTTTTCTCTGTGTGTATTTTAACAAAAGTTTACTAAAAAGTTGGATTTTCATTCATTCATTATTGCACATTTTTCTCCCTACATGCCCCCAGTTCAGTTTAAAAAAAACATTCACTGATGCATAATTTACTCCCCTACTCCATCCCCCAGTCCCCTCTGCTAGGCACCTCTTATTCTGAACTGTTGTTATACATATAATGCCTAATCATATATTCTTTTTAAACAGTTCTTTCCTTCATCTGTTCGAATGCAGTGTTCGTTATTTCCCCTCTTTTCTTAGTTTCCTCCCAATCCATGTCAGTCCTGTTTTATAACAGTGGTGTTATTCAGTACTTGTCCTTTTGTGACTTAGGAAATTTTACTCAGAATAATATCTTCACAGGTCACCCATGTTATGTAATATTTGATGAATTCCTTGTTTTTAAGTGTTACATAGTATTCCACTGTGTGAATGTACCATAGTTTTTCTGTCCATTCATTCACTGATGGTTGAGTTACTTTAATCTCTTTGCTATTGTGAATTATTAAGCTGAAGGAACTGAAGAACAAGTTCGAGTTGCAGTACTTAAGGATGCTGTAGGAAGACTATTGAATGACTAGGAAGCACCAAAAGAAGATGGAAGGAATACACAGAGCCACTATACCAAAAAGAATTGGCTGATATAGAAGAATTTAGTGAAACAACATAGATTCAAAAGACAATGGTGAGGGAGAAGGAAGTTCAAGCTGCATCGAAGGAACTGGTAAAAAACAAAGTCCTAGGAATTGACGGGATACAAAAAGACGTATTTCAACCAACAGACGCTGCCCTGGATGTGCTCACCTGGTTGTGCCAAGAAATCTAGAGGACAACTACCTGGCCAACTGACTGGAAGAGATTCATATTTATTCCTATTCCAAAAAGCAGTGATGATCCAACAGTGTGGAAATGATCAAACAATTTTAATATTGCATACAAACAAGATTATCCAAAATGACTGGAAGAGTACATCATCAGAGAACTGCCAGGTGTGTAAACTGGGTTTGGAAGAGGTCGTGGCCTTAGGGACATTTTGGCCAATGTTAGATGGATCTTAGCTGAAAGCAGAGTGCACCAGATGAATGTCTGTGTTTCACTATTGATTTATTCAGAATGTGGTGGGACCAAGACGTTAAGGATAAAGGAGTTAGTTTTCCATGAAAGCAGAACATTGGCCTTTGATTCTGATTTCTTTTTCCAATGTCCTATTCTCTTAGACTAGTGATGGTAGTTGAGCATGGTGGAAATTATTTTTCTCACTTTATTAATGGGTTACAAGATGTAGGGTCTAATAAACATAATTCAAATCCCCTTTAAGACTTAATCAATGAGAGATGTATTAGCTTTGATCTATACTGAATACAATACAAAACCAGATCTAGCCCTAAATTCTCTGTATCCACCCATCTACCCTAGAAGCCCTTGTGAGGGGCAGTAAAATACTTTATTACTGGTTGAAAGATTGGCAGTGAGAACTCAGTCAGAGGTGTCTAAGGAACCAGGCCTGGTGGTCTATTCTGAAAGGTCACAGCTGGAAAACTTTACTGTATTCTGCTCTGTAGAGTTGACTCAACTCCAAGCCAACTAACAAAAAGAAAACATTCTAAGCCACATTGCTTTCCAATCGTGTTGGTTACTATATCAAAAAACTGCTGATCTTAGAGATGGTGTCTATTTGATCTAGTTACATGCGAGTATGATTTCTGTTCTGTCTAATCAAGATAAAACTGAGTGAAGCGTAAGGTCTAAAATTAGCAAAGAAAACATGCAGCTGTAGCTGGATTGGCTGCTCTGAACATGACCATTGTTTGTTCTGAGTTTTGAATCCGTGTGTCACTGTTAGGGTTTGCTGAGCGCATGTTCACTCTCAGAGACCCGCGTACAAGCCAAAAGGCACTCGTCTCGTCATATCCTTGCTAGGTGTGACTATTATTGCGCCATGGTCTCAGCCGCTGTCTTGGCCCCCTCACTGGGGTCTTCTGCTTTGTTACCAAGCCTTTTTTCCCTCCTGACAACATGCTCTCCAAATGAGATGAAGTCTCACCTTCTTTCCTTCCAAGGAACATTCTGGATGTATTTCCTGTTAGACAGATTTAGTTGTTTTTAAAGAAAGTCCATAATATATTCAATATTTTTTTATACCTGAGAGTATTTAAATAGTTTTAGTAGCTTTGAAAGATTCCAACACGAAGGGATCTATCTGTGAGAACAAGAGCTTTCTTGGTCCAAAACAGCTGCAGACACATGAAACACGAGGGACTGAGATCAACTGGGTCACTAGGTGAGATTCAAGAGTTGTTCATGACATGATTTCACTTAGTTCAGAAAAAAAAAGTCAAGTCCATTTTTTCTTCTTCACATGGGATAAATTTTAAGAGAAGATAATTATCGGCCAAAGACAACACTTTCATTTAAAGTTCAGTTTCATTTCTCTCCTTTCATTATCTTCACATGACCAAGGTGATT